GTCTGCATGTCCTCCTTTTCCAATCAAATTTTCTGCCAAATTTGGCAACAAAGAAAATTACTGGAGAAATATTGAACTAGCAACAGATAAAATAAAAAGGGAAGAAAGAGGATGGATGCATCTAATTTAAACAGAACAAACAATATATTTTAATTGAAAGAAGTTCGTAAGGGTATTAACATTTGCCTTGGTGCCAGAATCTATAAACTGACATAATCTATCAACAACTTCAACTCTGATACATGCAAGTTAATTTATGCTCCAAGAAAACCTACCAACACTATACAGAAACTTGAAAAGCTGAAACCTGCAAGATATAAGTCCCACAAGAAGATCAAGCGATCATGAAGAAAATAAATTTGTCAAGTGGTTAGGAAAACAAAACCAGTAGAGTTCAAAACATGCAAGCCACTGGTATAGAAATCATGGTGTAAAATTCTTTACTTGAAGCTTGCAAAACTGTAAGAAACACAGGAGTATACAATTATCAGTACTTTCTTTCAGTATACAGCGTTTCAATACATTTGAGATGCACTTGGCTAAGATAAGGTGACGAGGAAGAAGTAGTTACCTATTTCGCCTGAAAATGAATAATCAGGGGGGACAATTAGGTCGATTAAGACAGACCACACACACATCGCATACACAATACTCAAACCAAAGACCTCTTATGACACAGGGGCTTATAGAAAGAGCCGCTCTTGTTCTTTATTTTCTTTTATTTGTGTAGGTAAATAAGTTGCTCCCTTGTGGCCTTAGGCCCTTGCCTTTGTATATAAATTGAAGTGGAGATCTTAATAAAGACCATATTGATAGTTGGTAATTTTGCTACCTTTGTTTTCCTAGTCTCGTTGCTTGTTTCCGTTCTCTGTAACTTGGCTTGGCCAAGGGGTGAAACGGTACAGGAGATAGATGCCTAGGTGAGGCTACTTAGCTGAGAGACTTGTCGCCATTCCTTCTCCTTCAGAGTTGAGAATCGGCGTCATTTGGTATCAGAGCTGGCAATATGCCGCCTCGAAGAAATCTCCAACGGCCTGTCGGCGACATCGTGGTTGAAGATTTGCAACGAGAGGTCCACCGATTGCAACAAGAGTTGGCCCCAAGAGAGCAACAAGATGCGGAGAGCCATCAAGAAGAAGAAGATGTTAATCCTTTCCACCAAGAAACCTCCAACGAAGAAGAAGAAAACCACCAGAAGGCCCATGCGGGTCCGTCCTTCCTTCAGGGTTGATGGCGGGATTAAGATCGACCTTCCCGAATTTGAGGGAAGAATCGATCCTGATGAGTTTTTGAATTGGATGCATGCTGTAGAACAAATTATCGAGTTCAAAGAAGTGGCCGCCGAACGAATTGTCAATCTAGTGGCGATCAAGCTCCGGAAGAACGCTTCCCTTTGGTGGGAAAATTTGAAGCACAATAGAGCCCGAGAAGGTAAACACGAGATCACCAATTAGGACAAGATGAAAAGCAGCGCAAATACCTTCCGGATCAATACCGACAAGAATTGTTCTTGAGAGTTGAGGCTACACCGTCTGCAACAACGACAGTTGTTTCACTTGTTTGTTGAAGAATATGTAGCTGAATTCGAACATCTAACTTTAAAATGTGACCTTATCGAGCCAATGGAGAACACTATCGTAAGATTCTTGGATGGTCTTCAACCTGCTATTGCGCATGTGGTGCAACTACAACCTTTTTGGACACTCCAAGATGTGATTAATTTAGCTCTGAAGGTTGAAAAGCAACAAAGAACCACACATTCTAGTTATCCCCGGCCCAGAGAAGTATGTGAAGGCAAACATGGCCAGAACTCCAAGAACGGGGCATTCACATCTCACGAGAGGCCTTCTACATCGCAAGAAATAGAGGAAATGAGTATCTTATCCAACTTATTTTATTTATATGAGCAATTAATCATAAATAATAATTATTAAAATATTAATATACTAATTGTTGTACTCGAATATGGGTCTAGCAAAAAGGAAGTATTGATCCCCTTCCCTACCAAAAGGATGGCTCATATCGATGTCATAGATTATAACTTTCTTGCACTTATCGAAGATGATTGAGATCTAAGATGTCAGCAATGTGAGCATATGCGGTTGGTGCAAGATCTAGGGACGGCTTAATGTGCTATGTTGGTGGCGAGGTTCGTTGTTGGCACAATTTCACATAATGGTGAAGAGTTTGTATATGAGAGGTTATGAGACTAGCGTGAGCAATGTTGTCAAGAGTGGGGCATGGTCCCAGGGTTGATGAAAGCAAGTAGGTAATGAACGAGATGAGGTGCAGAATGCATGATGAGGTCAACAGTGGGAATGAGAACACAAGGATGTCAATTTCTTCGTTAAAAATAGATTTATTTAACTATCAACTAAACACACCTACATGACCCATTGTAAAAAGAGATAACATATGAATTTGATAAGTCAAATTTAGCAAGTAACCCCTATCTATCAAAGCATAAATGACAAAAGATTAAGGCATGCAGTATGAATAATCAAAAGGTGTGAGTGTGCTTACAAATGCACCACACTAGGTATCATTGTACCTTAAAATGATTTATCAATCATTTATTATTTTTAAATCCTATCCAATATATGCAAACATCTAGTGTATATAACTATAGTTGGTTTGTCAAATACTCATCACTAAAAAGGTAAATACCATCCTCAATGAAATCTAGTGATCTCTATTAAGTCGTCACTATGGGGGCCTATTGGCCTTGGCTAGCTAATAACCAATAGGGTTCTACCAACACACATCAACGCATAAATTATATTATTTTCCTAAACTTTCTATAAACAAATTTCAATAGGTTTTCTAGTTTCAATATGGCAAATGTTATCTGATTTTCCAACATACTCATTTATTTCATTCAATAAGAGCACGTGCATGACAATAAAAAAATTGATATACATGAGTTTATGCAATAATAATCAAGAATGATCTATTTATAAATCTTCCTAATTCATTTTGAGCATGTATATAAAATAAAAGAATCTATAACAATATGACTGATAATCTTATATCCAAAGGTCTAGCATAATAAACAAAATAACTCCCATAACAAACAAAGGTACATGTACCCCTAAATAAATAACAGTTAGTTATCTTTAGGTGTACTACATGAAATCCCAAGCCTACAAGATAATCAACTGACAGTGGTGCGAGGACAATAACTCGAAGGTTCTACACATAACAATAATGTTGAAAGATTTCAATCCTTGAAACCTAAGTTTTACAAAACCCGAGTTTAATTATATATATATTGCATCCTAGAATATTCACGGTAATAGAAAAATATAAAGTTTAACATCTTTGCTTTGTACAAAGATCCAGCACTCTATTAGATAAAGGAGAGCGTGCATCGTTCATAAGAGATACTAGAGTTTTTTATGTGGAAACTACTGAAAAGGGGGAAAATCATGTCGCCTGACCTTATTTCAATGAATCCACTAGTGTTTACTATTAATTACAAATGAGGTCCATCCTTTAGGAAAGGTATTAGGTTGATGTAGCAAATATACATTATATAAAGTGTAGTACATGGAATTGAAAGAATCAATATTGACATGTTTGTTTAGTTTGCAAGCGACGGAAGTCGAAAAAATCATAGTTGGGTGACGATAGTCAAGAGGACCATAGTCGGCGGGCAATAGAGGTTGGTAAGACCATCATCTTACAAAGGAGGTCGGAAGGACCGTAGTCAACGGGTGACGGATGATGAAAAGACCGTAGCATTGGGACAGAGGTTAGAAGGAACGTTGTCTAGCGATGGAGGTCAAAAGGATTGTTGTCTGGCAATGGAGGTCGAAAGGACCGTAGTCGGCCGACGACGGAGGGTGAAAAGACCGTTGTCAGGGAACGAAGGTCGAAAGGACCATAGTCGGCATGTGACAAAGGTCAGAATGATCGTAGTTGGCTGGTGATAGTGGTTAAAAAAACCATTGTCTGGTAATAGAGATTAGAAGGACCGTAGTCGGTGAGCGACAATGGTTAGAAAGACCATTATTTGGTGAGAGATGTTTGAAGGACTGTAGTCGGTAGGCAACATAACTTAGAAAGACTATTGTCTAGTGATGGAGTTCGAAATGATTGTAGTTGGTGTGCGATGGAGGCCTTCTGACCTCTATCATCGGGTGACAATGGTCAAAAAGACCATTCTCAAGCGACGTAGGTCGGAAGGTTCGTAGTCAGCGGGCAACAGTGGTAAAAAAGACCATTGTCTGGTGACGGGGTCAGTGTGCGACGGTGGTTAGAAATACCGTTGTCTGGAAACGAATGTCAGAAAAATCGTATTCGGGTGATAGTGGTTGAAAAGACTGTAATCGGTGGATGACGTTGGTCAGAAAGACCATAAATTAGCGATGAAGGTCAGAAATACCTTAATCGGATGAAAGTGTTCAAAAGGACCGTAATTGGACAACAAATATTAGAAGGACTGATGTTGGTGGGTGATGGAGGTCATGAAGATCATAGTCATCGACAATGGTCATAATAAAAACCAACGATAATATTATATGAACTATTTAACCGAGAAAGAGAAATGTTGTTAGCTTTATCTCTACATCATGAATGCATTTTCTTTATGTTATTAGTTAGTATAAAGTTCATGACTTTCTATAAGTTATAATGTTTTCATGTAAAATTTATTAATGTATTTGCCTATTTATTCCATATTACTATATAAGTCTACATTTATATTAACTATCTTAATAATTTATTTTCTGATGTTCAATTGGAGGAAAAAATTATAAGATCTCATGTAAAAAATTTGGATATAATACAACTATACAACTACAAAAAAGTCAATTGGTTATAACATAAGTTTATTTAATTTTAAAATTAATGAATTTATTTATTTCGTATATTTTAAGCTTCACATCATGTCCAATTTTTTTATTAAATATGTGAATCATTTGCACATATAATTACATATAATTATATTTATAATTAATGAAATGGGCTATCCTCATAAATTATAAAAAAACAAAAACAAAAACAATCGCGGGACTCTTTCCTAGCAAGCCGATCACTGCCCAATCCCCATTGTATCTCCCAATTCCAATTGATCGCATCGACGAATCCCTAAAACCAGAAGAAACCTTCTCAATGATCAATCTTATCTCAGACCTAAATGGACGCAACCTCCCCCTCCCCTTTCCCTTCACCAACCCCTCTTCGTTACCCTCTCTCCTCTCCTACCACCCCGCCGCCCGACGACCTCGCCGACACCTGCTTCCTCGAATTCATCCTCCGACAGCCCATCCCTGACTTCCTTGCCCAGGAAATATTCCTTTCCGTCCCCTAAATGGCCGCACCCTCCTCCTCCTCCTCCTCGTTCCCAACCCTTCTTCGTCACCCTCTCTCCTCTCCCACCACCCGGCCGCCGGCCGACGACCTCGCCAACACCTGGATCCTTGAATTCATCCTTCGACAGCCCATCCCCGACTTCCTTGCTAACGAAATATTCCTCTCCCTCCATTTCTCTTCCTCCAATCTCCACCCCCACCTCCGCAAAACCGTCCTACTCCGCCGCATCTCGTCAGACCTCCGCCGCCGTTCTCTTTCGGAGCGCACACTCCACTCCCTTGAGCTTATCGTGGAGCTCGACCGTCATAGCGGCTCCCGGCCCTCGCACCGCTTGAAGGCTGCGTACTGCGCTACGGCCGTTGAGTGCACCGCCGCGGCTTTCTTCAGGAGCGGCAGGGATTCCATCGACTTTGTTGAGAGATTCTGGATGGCAGAGGCCGCGGAGGGTCTCGTCTCCGAGCAACTCATTGAGTGGCGGAAAAGGATGGAACGGTGTCTCTCGAGTGGTGAACGTGGCGAAGAGATTTTAAAGAGGGACGCAGAAGATGCAATGAGCTCGGTAAGGGATTATTTGGAAGAGGCGTTGCAAGATATGGGTCCGCCTTTTCTCGAGATTGCGGCTGCAGAGTTTGTGGGGAAAAGATTGGATTTGAATGCAGTTGTTGACAAAGTAGGGAAGGTTTTCACTGAAATGAATGTTTGTTTTGAGGAATTGGATGAAACTGACGACGAGTTGGAAACTGATGGGGGTCGTATTTCGATGGGGATCATGGAAGAGGGTGGGGTTGTAGAGCGATCAGGGGGTATGACAGATACTTCTAGGAGGGATCTGAGAGTTGGTGGGATTAGAGAGGAATCTGATGGTCTGGGTAAAGCTTCAGCTATGCAAGGTGCTGACTTTAACGGTGTTGTGGGATCGGGCTTCGACTCTGTGGAAATGGAAGTTGGTATTGATTTTATTCTTGAATTATTGCTCTTTATATGCTTCTATGTTCTATCTCATGCTGTTTAATGTTTGAGTCTTACTAGATGAGGATATTATTAATAGAATACAAGTTGGATGGTTGAATTGGAGGAATGCATAAGGCTTGTTGTGTGATAGAAAAGTTCACTTCAAACTTAAGGAAAAATTTTGTAAGATGATGATGAGACTTGCAATACTTTATGGTGCAGAATGGTGGCCATTGAAAGAGAAGCATAATATTAAGTTAAGTGTTGCAGAGATGGCAATGCTCAGGTGTATGAGTGGCTTTACTCTTAGAGACATGATATGAAATGAGCATATACATGAAAAAGTTGGAGTAGTTCCACTGGACGGCTTAGATGGTTTGGTCACATAAAACGATGGCCTTCCAATTATCCAATTAGTAAAGTCAATGTATTAGATTTGGCTTATGTTAAGATTAGTAGAGGTAGACCTAAAAAGTTTTGGTTAGAAAATATTAGAAATGATGTTTCTTTATTAGATTTAAATGAAAATTTGAATCTTATTAGGACACAAGGGAGAAAAAGGATTCATGTTGCAGATCCCACGTAGTGGGATAAAGGCTTGATGATGATGTTGTTGTTGTTGCCGCTGCTGCTCTTTTACTATATTGCATTTTTGAATTCAATAAACATGAAAATAATTCATTTTCTTATGTCATAGAAGACAACGAAAAAGGTGTGAATTATATTCCTGATCATAGTGGATGTAACATTCTTCAAGTTGCTCCTGATGAAGTAAGCAAAGTGAAGGATGCCCTAAAGAAGAGCTCTTTTGATCTAAAGAGGATGGTGGAAGATCCCCTCCCAGAGGCACAAGCTGTCGCAGCTGCAGTATTGGATAGCATATCTCGTGTTCATGACAATGAGGCCGAAAAGCAAATTTCTGTGGAAAATCCAGTCTTGCCAGTTTCTCCTGTTGATCCCGTTGCTGGAAACCCCCCTGGAATGGGCTGTAGCACTGATGACTTGGAGAAAGAGAAATGGAACTTATCTGTTTTTAAGCAAATGGAAGGAAATCATATTGATGCTGGGCCAAGCAAGCGGAGAGAAGTTGTGGCTAATCATGGTATTTCTGAAAGGAATCCAACTGCTCATATTAGTGAGGTGATTTCTTCGCACACATTCTATTATGTGATTGTTTATTCATTCTTACAGTGGTGTAATGCAATCAAGTTTCTCATAAATTTCCTTTATTAATCCACAAATCAGTTGAATTTAATGATTGTGTGAACATGATTCTTCCTTCTTTTATCCACCCTAACCCAAATCAAAATTATTAGCATGACTTCTAGTGACTAATTTTCTTTATCAAGTCGTTGATCAGATGTTCTTGAAGGTTTCTTGCATGATATTATTCCACTAGTTATCCCCTGGACAATATGGCATGGTCCAGATCAAAATGTTTTATGCATCTTCTTTGCGGCTTCAAGCTACATTATATCATGATTGAATCTAGGGGAGCTATTATTCATTATGTAAGGAGTAATCAAGGGGAACTGTTTGAGAAAGTTCCTAATTAAGGGGAATATTATTTAGGAATGTTTCTTAGAATATGTTAATTGTTTAGGAAGGTTTCTTAAATCATGTTTAATTATTTAGGAATGTATTCTAAAGTATATTTAAATATTTAGGAAGGTTTCCTAAATCATGTTTAATTTTTTATGAATGTTTCATAAATTATGTTTAATTGTTTAGGAATGTTCTATTTATGATTTTATATTTTAGGGCTATTTAAGTGGGAGTTTTATAGGGATTAGGATATGTTATTGCTGAGTTTTATGTTCTTAGTATTTTGTTGTGAGTTCCTAGTAGTATCTTGGTCTTGTCGGAGAGGAGATCTACTTCTCTAATAATAGATCACCTGTATCTTGCTTTTATATTGCATAAATAATACAAAATCAGCCACTATTTTGGGCATTCCTGCAGTTTTCCATTGATTGGGTTGCTGTTTTTTACTTCCAAGGCATATCAGCTTTGTTTGGACCGAAGGAAAGTGAAGGAAACAAAAGAGATCGAAACATTGAATTTTGTTATTTTCTTTCAAGTTGAGACAGGTTTTTTATCTGCATATAAAAATCCAGCCACAATATATGAAGCTTATTACACAAGTGCATATGATCCCTAGATATACAACTTACACATATACATGCCTATGCAGTCATTCATTTTCCTTGTCTTGGAAGTTGGAACATGATATAAAATATTCTTGCATAATACATGCAACAGAAAGTATAGCAAAGGCATCTATAATTACTTCCGTGCCTTCACTGCCCACCGTATGCATTCAGTGTACCTGAAAATGTTACTGAAAGAGGTGCGAGTCCACTTACTTGGTTGATGATCCTTATCAAATAAACGAAGCATTTTTCATTACCACAATCACTTTTTATAAACACAATCACTTTTTATATGCACTAAACATGATGTACTGATAGGATATGGATTAGCATATAACATGTTATAATAACTATGCATGATTAAGCATTTAGATCATGATATAGCATGGCCTTAGTTTTATCATATATCATTTATTATATCAACAAAGCAACACATATAATTCCATACATTATTTGGCATGACATGTTATCATTTTTCTACTTTGTCATCATTTAAATGTGTCATAATTCATCAGTTGGAGGTTTTCACCTAAATTCAATAGATTGCTGCCTTAGTTTAGTAAGGGCCTGTTGATCCTATTCAAGTTCTCATGATTCCACTACTTGTTACAACAACATTGATGATTTGCTATAATTTATTGGGCAGGAGGCCTTCATTTAAGTTCAACAATAGGTCATCGCTTTAGTTCAAGAGGAGGCAATTTCTCAATTTAGTAGGATGTTGTCACCATAGCTTGAGCTTGTCATGTATTCCATAGATGGCTAACCAATATCGTTCATTGTGAACGTAAATATCGTTTTGAACGTAAATATCGTTCTCCATTTTTTTCTTATTATTGTTTGTCTTTTTTGTGGTTATTCAGATCATACCCTCACTGCCATCCGAAATTTTCATTATTTTTTACCGGCAAGACAAAAATGGTCTCATTTCAAATAGTTGAGGGACCAAATTGGTCCCTCATAATATTCTGGACCATTTTGGCCCCTCCTAAAGAGTTAAGGAATCATTTTGATCCTTTTCTCTAGATATATCTAACATTTAAAACTTTTTATTTACTTATATAACACATAAAACTCTCTTTAACACCTCAAATATATCAGTCTCCTTCCATGCACATCTCATTAACTCCTCTTTGGCATAAGTTCTATCTCATCTTGCATGACTTTGAATTTCTTCGGTAGGAGCTCAAGCTCTCAATTCTCAGGCAAGTTATTCTATCGAAGTGGGCAAGACCGACAAAGGTCCATGCATGGGGGGAGGCGAACAAGGTAGTCTGGGGTTAACAAAGCAAGTAAGGGGCAATGAAAAGGGGACGAAAGGTGAGAGGTCTAGAGTAGAGAATAAGAAAAGCTTGCACAGGAGAAGGCAGAGCAATGAGCTAATGAAGATGATTCAACAGGAATAACAAAGATCATAATAGAGGGAGACTGAGTGATATGTTTGTGATGTTAAAACTTTCAGGTGCTCTATAAATAAATAAGAAGTTTTAAGTGTTAGATGTATACATATAGACATATAGATGCATTAAGTGTTATTTATGTAAACCCGCAATAATAATAATAATCTAGTAGGTGACTCCACCTTAATATCCTAGCCCTATTCCCAATTGATTTGTCATCATGTTTGTAATATGTCCAATATTTATAATTCCATCTCTTTTAACTGGTATTTCAGCTTTATCATATTGGTTAAACTGTCTTTTTGTTCCCAAAGATTTTCGCTGGCTATAATTTATTTTTAAACTCGTTCTAAACCCCTCCTCAGTTCTAGTATGTTTTTAATCAACTAGTTCTTTAGCAACCAAAAAGAGTCATAAAGGATAATGCTCTTTAGTTATCATTTGCCCTAATTTTGAATGTGCAACAGCACCATGCACCGAGACTTTACAAAACATTTTGTTTTTTTATTGTCCCTTTAACTAATTATCTCTGTTTAGCAAGTAATTATATGGATTATAGAGTGCACTGCTCTTGCACATGTAACCTAATTATGACTGAAAATTCTCGTTAGGGCTTACTAGAATAAAAAAATTGTCTCATAGAATTGATACTTTTTGCAGTGGTGTTTGAATTCAAATTAATTATATTTTTTGTTTCATTTTTTCAGTCGATCGAAGATTCCCTGGAGTCATCAGTCCCTACGGAAAAACTTAAGTCGCCCAATCCAACTTCGAGGGGAAATTCTCTAGCTAGGTTATGTAAAGGAAAGCTTATCAAAAGGAGAGCTGTTAAGAGATGGACTCAGCTGGAAGAACATACCTTGAGGGAAGCTGTAGCAAAGTATGTTCCATGCTGATACTACAATTGATATTTAGGTTTCGTTTGGGACGGCTTTTTTATTGCTTCTTAAAGCAGCTTCTTAGTACTAGGAAGCTGCTTTAAGAAGCAGAGACTTCATTTGGGATGGCTTTTTATTACTTCTTAAAACAGTTTTTTAGAATAAAAATTTAAATTTTTTTATTAAAATGTTGCTTTAAGAAACAATAAGAAAGCCGCCCCAAACGAAGCCTTAGTCAATTATTCTTGCTAAATCATCTGGAAATGTTATGGCTTTTTCATTTTTGTTTGTTCTCATTCTTTCTATCTACTACAATTGATAACCTTTACTGTTATGTAAGATTTTTATTTATCGAATTTATCTGCACATTAGCAATTTGATTCCCTCTTCTTTTGTGAACAAAGGTATGGCAAAGGAAACTGGAAATTAATTCTGAACCGTCATTCTGAAATATTTGGAGAGCGAACAGAGGTAGGATGTTCTACCACTTTGCCTTTTTTTTCTTTTGCTACTTGCATGAACTAGTTTTATATGAGTTTTTTTTCTTAAACAGGTTGATTTAAAGGATAAGTGGAGAAACATGGCTCGACATTTATTGTAGGACTTTCAGTTGCAATTTCATCTTTTAGTTTTCTGGTTTAGTGTGGTCGCCCTCATCAGCTCTAATCTTATCAAAATATTTAAGGTCAGCTGCCTTTACTGTCATTTATGCTTCCATATTTTGTGTCTACTTGTTTGTCATGAATTCTTAGATGTTCAGGACTTGCACCGTATTTGGATATCCTTATTATTATTTTTTTCTTTTTAGGTGTAACGCAAGCATGCCCTATTTTTGTAAATTTCTTCGAAGCAATTAAGGTTTTTTTAAGCTGTTTTTACCCTGCCCTTTATTTGTTATTCAACAGTCATTTTCCTAGTCGAAGGTGTTTGATTGGAGAAATTATCACGTGCAAAGTCCGGATGTAGAGTTGTAATCAGACTCCAATCAAATGTGAACTAGTTACCAATATACGATTTTTATGTTATCATGTATTAATTGTGTATTTATTTTGTATTGATCGGATACAAAATGAGCATATACGTCATAAGGTTGGAGTAGCTCCAGTAGAAGATAAGATGAGAGAGAGTCGTCTTAGATGGTTTGGTCACATAAAACGGCTGCCTTCTGATGACCCGGTTAGGAGAGTAGAAGTATTATATTTGACTTATGTTAAGAAAGGTAAAGACAGACCTAAAAAGACTTTGTTAGAAAATAATAGGAATGACCTTTATTTATTAAATTTAAACGAAAATTTAACCTTTAATATGACACAATGGAGTAAAAAGATTCATGTAGCCGACCCCACATAGTGGGATAAAGACTTGATGTTGTTGTTGTTGTTGTTGTTGTGTCTATTAAATACACATTCAATATATAATTAATAAACATTAATATAAAAAAATTATGTGTTGGCCACGTGTTAGTGTGCATTGGCCACGTGTCCTGATTTGATTGGAATCTGAACGTAACTCTACGTCCGGATTCCGCATGCAATAATTTCTCCTTTGATTGTGGGCTATTTGGCTGCCATGTTTTTGTTTCTGCTGCTTCATATTTGGGATTTGGATAATATCAAGTTTAAATTTAATGGTTATCTGGAAGTGAAATTGACTGAACTTTAGCCAATCATATATACTATCATGGGGTCTAGAATGATTGGTATGAAAAGATAATTTTTAACGCATCATCTTTACTTGATTTTTGATGCATTTGATGAGTTTTTCTGGATCTCAGATAGGCGATCTCGCATTAATTACTTGGGTTAAAATGACTCAATAATGATGTCTTGGATATGAAACTCTATAATTCCTGAAATAAGGGATGTCTACATGTTTCTTCATTGAGTAAAGGAAGTTTGGGATACAATAAATCAAATGTATTCTAAAATTCTGGTTGCGGCCCCAATCTAAGAGATCAAATTCAAGATCTTGACCTTAAAGCTAGGAAGATGATCCATCATAGAACACTACATTCTCATACAAGGCCTTGACAAGAGATTGATTATTATTATCAATACATTCAAAAGAAAATGCATCAAAGATGTAAACCTCCTTTAAAAGTTTGTTGGAAAATATCAAATTTATAATTTTTTTGATAAAATATTGAGTCTTAGGCTTCATTTGGTTCTTCCTCTTCTTTTGCAAAAGGCTATATTGCACCGATACATTTATTTACGAAGGTGTGTTGTATCTGATACACGGATACGGCTCTGATACGTGTCGGATACAGCTTTGCCGTATCTAATTAAAATACTATTTAATTTCAGAAGTACACGCGTATCTGATACGCGTGCCTGTTGAAAAAAAAAAAACTGAAAAAAGACTTCTTGTATTTACTTCCATGGCTATGAGGGAGGTTCTCTCATTTTCGAGATGGATTTGAGTCCCTTGATGATATGAGAATATTAGAAATTGTTAATCTTTTACTTGATGAGTCTGAATTAGAAGCTATGATATTTATTGAAGATGATATAGAAGTTCAAAGGCAAATCATGAAGAAGCTAATCATATCATTCCTTCTATTGAGTAGTTGAAACTTCATGTGCTAGATAATTTATGTTTATGCTTTTGTTGTTGTACTACATATTTAATACTTACTTTTATTTTAATATTATAAGCTATACACGGCTATAAATGATGTTACTTTCATTTTTTTTTTTGTAATTTCAAATATTATGTTTTGATTGCTTTCTTAATTTTTATGTATGATTCATAAATTATAATTCCGTATCCGCGCTGTACCCATATCCTGGATTTTTAAGAATTGACGTGTCCCATATCTGTATCATGTTGTATCCGTGTTGCCGTATCCGTATCTGTATCCGTATCGGTGCAACATAGGTAAAAGATAGTTTTAGAAATATTGGTTAAGGGAATTGAGTTTTCTAACGGAGAAGAAAATATCAAAAAAAGTTTCTCAAAACAGTAAAAAAATGTAGTTCCGTAAAAAGCATTTTTATGGAATCATCGCATCCAAAATGTGATAAAAAAATAATTTCGTTGTTTCTAAAAAAAAAAAGTGCCGAAAAAAACAAGGCATTTGAAAGGAGGATTGCCTTTTGTAGATGAAGTCGTGATCATAATTCAAATGGAAAAACGGAGTAGGGGAATTATGATATCCAATAGGCCCATAAAAGATTTAGTTTCGTTTGAGATAGTTTTCTTATTATTTTTTAAAGTATTTTTTTAGTATAAAAGTTTTATAGGTAAAAAAAATTATATTAAAAAATTACTTAAAAAAGAGTAAGAAAACTATCTCAAATAAAATGTTAGGCTTGATGACAAAGTGTCAAAGCTTGCCGACATCAAACTACTTGATTGAAAACTCTCTTTCTGAGGAGCACAAAAAGCCACACCAAATAAAGATGGTTAATATAAATTTCTTATGGTGCATATTACAATAAGTTTCAACATACAAAAAAAGATGTTGAAAGTTTTATGACAAGCCACTTATTCTCTTGCATTCTCAAGTATTATCTCATCTTCTCATATTTTTACAGTCTTAGATTTTGTTTGGGATAGCTTTCTTATTGCTTTGCGTTTCACATCATAATCATAATTTTTATTTGATCATTATTTTTTCGCTAATTTTAAAATATTTTTTACTCGAGAGTTGCTTTCAACAACTTTAAAATTTTACTTTATCTATAATATTTTTACAAAATAGTAAAAAAGTTGTCTTAAATGAAGCCTTAGAGATGTCAAATGGTAACATACAATATAATTATTTAAATATGAGGCATGATCGAGCTACAATATAGTTATCAGTTGCTACAATATAGTTATGGTGATTATCACAATTAAATATGATAAATAAACACTCCAATGAAAAGGGATTATAAATTTCTACTTACCTTCTTAACAACTCAACGTTTAAGCATGATCTCCATATAGGCAGGTCAAAAAAGTTTTAGTTTAACTAATTTTTATACTCTCGCATGTTTAGCAACTAAAATACAAATAAGATTTTATTCAATTATTTATGGCTTGAAATAACTTGATTATGATTATATATGTATATATGATTTTTAAGTTGAAATTATTTTCATGAACAACTATATTTAGCACAATAATTCAACACAAAATTGTCCTTCATTTTTTTTTCTTTTGAAAAATTCGAAAAATTAATAATTATAATTAAAATAAATATTAAAAAAGAGATGAGAAAGAACATATATAAAATATTCTTTTTGATATTAAGAAATAGAGTTCAGTGGACAACGAGTTACTAATGTGATTATTAATATGTTTTAAAGTGAAGAATAAATCTATTAATTATAATTAGTAAGATTAAAAAAAAAAGTGAAGAATAAACCTTTTGGTTGAAGATGGCCTAAGCCCAAAAGCCCAGTAATAATTGGGCTTGCTCTAAAGAGGCTCAATTCCAACTCTAACTCAAACGAAAACAAAGCAGACAACGAATGAAGCTTTTACTAAGCTGATCTCATCCTTCTCAAAGTTGATGCAGGAAGGCAATAAATTCATAGGAAATTGAGATAACTTGTGAAGGATGGATCATACATTTTTAAAGGGAAAGTGGGCTCTACAACATGCAAACTTCAAACGTACACGACGATGAAAATTCTCAATTGCAAACCCTCTATTAAAATTTTCAAAGCTCTTATTCATCTTTGAAAGAAAATAAGCTCTAAATCAATTATCTTATGCAAATGGAGACTCATATGTTGAAGTCACCTAAATCCTTAAGTCGATCAGAGTTACATCTCATATAAGTCGCATGAGTTAATTCCAGCTCACCTAACCCCTCATATTTAGTTGTAAGAAAGAGAATTATGAGGTAATTTAAGAACTCCCTCATCTGTCTAGAGTATTTGAAGATCAACTAAAGATTCTCGTCGGAGAATTTATCGATGGTACTTGCTCACAATTTAAAACTCATCAATGACTCAATTGCCTAAATTGAATTCGGTCTGTTGGTTGGAAGCTGACTTCTAATCAAAAGATTTTGGGTTCAAATCTTGGGTATTGATGTGAACCATATGAGATGCAAACCACTAGGAGTTATTTCAAGAAATTTAATAAGAAAAAGATTAAAGTTTTGCTCCGTTTAAATTTAAAGCTAGTACATAGAATTGAGTTAAGAATTTGAAAATCTCAACTTTATTATGTTCAAAGAAAGGCAATTGAAATTAACCGAAGCAATTCATTCAAACTCCAAGAGATTTAGATGCAAAGTACAAATAACAAAAATCCAACGCTTAACAATGAGAATTTCACCTTGAGGGCCGTTTCACTCAACTAGTAGTAAGCTTTAGCGGAGAGAGAAAATCCAAATAATGAAGGATATCACCACTAGAGAGAAGGCGCCGAAGAACTTTGTCGGAGGAAAGGTAGCCGGTAGGGATGGATGTCGTAGATGGCCGTCGAGACTCCAATTATAATTTGAAAATCGTCGGTCAAAGATGCTTGCAAGGATCGGGACGACTCTCTCCAAATATTCTTCCACGGTGGTTTCGTCTTCAAATCCTACGTCGAAGCACGGAGACCGTAGGATATTGATGCTTCCGTCGGCGTTGAACACAAGACCCCACTCAAGCTCCGGATCCGCCATGCGTCATTGAACCGGAGATGGAAAACGTCGCCTTCGTTCCCTCTTGGACTCTTGATTCAAGAGACGGGAAGAGAGAGGATGGGGGACGGCGGGATTCCAAGGGAGAGGGTGGCCGGCGGGTGTAGAGAGGAACAAGGCTTGAAAACAAATTAGGTTTAGGTCACTTCTCTTAGGGAATTAATCAAAATCTGAAATAATTTCAGTTTTGATTAAGTTTGGAGGGAAAATTGCATTGAATTTGAAATTTCCAATCAAGCAATTAAGGCATTAAGTGGAGTTAATGAGGGGAAGCCAAGGAAGGGGGCCGGCGGTCAATAGAGGGAGGGAGGAGGTTTGAAAATTTAAAACTGAAATTTGATTTCAGTTTTAAGTAAATTAGGAGGGAAAATTATTAGGAGTTAATTCCTAATTCAAGAGGAATCAATGCTTTAATGGGGCATTAATGGGCTCCACCCAAGCATGTGGCCGGCGGCTTCTAGAGGGGGGAAATTGGTGTGAGAGCAAGTGGATGGTTTCCAAATTGGGTGCATGAGGTTTAAGAAGGATTAACACAAAATCCGTTTGAATTTGAATTTTGTCATGAAAACGGATTTAAAACTTTCCTAATTTGGAATTTCCAAATTAGGAAAGATTTTGAAATTCAAAATTTTGAATTTTCAAAATTTGAATTCGAGGGGAATGGGAGATGAGGTCGATAGTTGAAAGGTCTACGGACGGATGGTGGTGGTGGGGTGGCCGGCGGCTAAGGGGGAAGCTAAGGCCGGCGGGTTGGGAAGAAGGAAGGGGGATTGGATGTTGGGGATAGACCACGAGCCACGGACTCCTCCAATGACTGGTGGGTATTGCTTTTCGCCCTCACCTTGGGCTCTCGTTCTCCTCTCTAACTCTCCACAAGAAGAAGAAGAAGACAAGATGATCAAAACAAATTTTCATTCATAATATTCATTAAGCTCAAAATAATATATGAGACCACTATATATAGGTCTCAACTCATACAATGAGAAAATACCAAATTGCCCTCTGGGCTACAATAACAAAGTAACTCCCCACAGGGGTAAAACTGGAAAGACTGCAAATAACATCAGATAATAATAAAATACATCATGACATCTAATATCAAAAGTAGAGGTGCTGAATCGTGGCCGTCGATCTGCGGTTTCGTCGGCGATAAACATGTCAGTAGCGTCTGTCGATGTCCTCATCAGGTATATGAGTTTGCCTTAATTAATCTAAATAGCCCCTAAAAACTTATTCATTCATTGCTATGTAATTGTATCAGCTATGGCCATTAGTCAGACTCAAACATGCAAAATCGACTTTTTCTTTTGCTCTGTGTTGTCAAGAGAGTGAAAGTACCATATATGCAAAAACATATCATTAAGATTCACACATGGGCGGAGGGGAGCACGTGTAATGAGACGGCAAACAGAACTATTAGAAAACCGTCGAAAAATTCCGTCGGTAATTGGTGATTTCCCTGTAGTGTTTAATATAGGCCCCCTCCTGAATAAAATTTCTGACTCCGTTACTCGATTCACATATGCTTAAATATAACATCATTAAGTTTTAATCCAATAATATTACTTAAAAAAAAACCGACACCATGGGATCGTCTTCCATCATTATATCATGTCCATAGGAGCAGGACAAATTGACATATGGCTCACTATCATCCACATAGTCACCATCAACAAAATTGTATATCCAAGCTTGTACTTAATCTGTGTAGAACATTCATACACATAATTCCTCACATAAAAAACACAAATTTACACTGAAAGAAAGCTTCCATTTGTGAAACAACCTATACTTTAGCTAAAGAAGAGAAATTTCTTCAGCAAACGCCAAACACACAAAGCAAGGGAAGTTTCATCTCTCAGTAAAGACTCAAAATACCTGCAAATAACTAATTAATTTAAGAGCCACCTCTCTTCGAGAGGGCCTCTGCTATTCTATAGAGTATAGAGCTAACCCACCATCACAGTTAATGATGGCAGGAGACCAAACTGTAAGATCGAAGAAACAAGAAATTGATGTAGAAAAAGATAGGACTTAAGAGTGTGAAAGAGACAGTATCAAACACTCACATACCAGTTATGGTCTCCAATCTTCAGCAAATGTTAGCTCTCCAATCTTCTATGGAGTCTGTGATCGGCTTCCGAAACGACACGATATGGCTGCCAACCATATACGCAGTTACCCTCTCCGAAACCCTAACCTCCTCCATCCTCATATCCTTCAGCCTCTGTGCGAACTCCGCCGCGCAAGCCAAATCCCATAAAACACCTATCCCTCCGGGGTTCAAAACCCTGACCACTTCCCCGATCCCCCTCCCCCTCTCCACTGCTGACTCGCCCTGGCGGCCGAGGTACACGGCGGAGACCACGACGTCGAAGTACCCGTCGGGAAAGGGAAGGCGATGCGCATCGCCCTCTCGGCAAGTCACGTATTCCTGAACACCCTCGGCGCCGGCGCGAAGGAGGGCGGAAACGGCCGTGTCTCGATCGCGATCTAGACCAACGACGCGGCCAGAGCTGCCTTCCTTCTTGAGCTGGAGGGCTACGGCGTTGAGGAGGATGCCACGACCGCAGCCGAGATCTAGGGCGGTTCGGACGGCGAACCAGTTGGGGACGGCTGCGAGCATGCGTTGGGCCATGAGCCAGCGCAGGGGTAGGGAGGAATATAGGACGTTGGCGGCGGCGAAGAGGAGACAGAGGGAGGAGAGGGATAGGACGGAGCCGGAGAAACCGGCGGCGAAGCGGAGGAAAGGAAGAGGGAGGGAGGGGAGGAGGGAGTGAATGGAGAGGAGAAACGGGTTGAAGTAGATAAGGAGGAGGAGGGAGAGGAGGGCGAAGAGGAATGAGTGGAAGATGAGGAACGCTACTGTTTGCCATTCGTCGGTGCCGTAGATCGAGTAGATCTGCATCCAATCGCGGCCGCACGGCTTTCCCATTTGGCTTCGCCGATCGATTTGATCGCCGGAAGAGAAGGATTTTGCGCAGGAAACACGAATTGGAATCGAAATCCTACCTTTTTACTCTCTGTGTAGCACTCTTTCCTGTGTGATGATGAAGAGTGAGTGTAGGGGGTGGAGGCCAGTGATGACTAAAGATGGTTGATTTATAGTGACGGACGACGGCGTTAACCGAGAGGGGATCCACCGGAGATGTGCTGACCGGGAACAACCAGTCACCTCGCAGGGTATTTTTTAATTAACCGTCGCCCGTAAATAAAAATTAAAAGAATTCAAATAAGCTTGTTTAAATATGTGATTTAAAAATTCACAAAATAACGGGAGAGAACAGACAAATTATTAAGTGCAGACGTAGAGCTATCTCTAATCTCCGGATTTCAATAAAAGTGTGATGTAAGCTTGTACATATTTGATATAATTGAGTACATATTATGTATAAGATATATATAATTGTGTATAAGATTATACACATTGTATAAAAAATTATACATATTATATATAATTATGTATAAGCTTATATATAGTACGTATAAGTTTATACAACATGTATAAGCTTAAGTGCCACGTATTTATTGGAGTCCAAACATAGCTCTATGTCCGCACTTCGCACGTAATAATTTTTTAGAGAGCGATTGTGTTATTGGCTAGAATCGTTTTGATAGTTCATTGAAGCTAAATTTGAAATATAATTTATATTTTTTAGGACATTTTGGCCAATTAAGGTTAACTCACACACACATCATATAAGTAAGACTTGAACCCAATACCTTATAGTTGGTAGTCAAAACTTTCAACTAGCATATAAAGATAAGATGCGTAAATAATTTATAAATTGATGAGCTGAATGAGTTAAATTTGAACTAATTCAGATTTGATCCATAAGTCCCTAAGCTAGCTTAGTAAAAAGAATAATAATATATAATTTGTTTAAAATAGGTATGATTCTAAAATATTCATATGACCATCACACGAATCTAAAGGTAATTTTTGAATTGGAAATTTCTAGAATTAAATTAAAAATCAGTTTCAACAAACTTATAATCAAATTGAATGTTCAAAATGAACCTATCAACATTACAAATGATCCAACATGACTACAAATAAACTCAAACTAAACATTTAATTTATATTTGATATTTTCTATGTATTAATGGATGGAACAAACAACCTTCAATTATAGCATACTTGTAATCAAATTGAGCGGTTAGACGAGAAGAATTTAACGAGCTCAAGGTCACTTAATCTTAGCATCAATAAGACAACCATATGTTTGATAAACTATTTATGATTAAGGTGATCAATATGGATTGTATGATGGAGTGCTTTGGACTATAACCAACCCATCTCGAAAAGTCTACAAATAGTGCTCTGTTCTCTATAGAGGAGGAGATTCAAGGACCGAGAGAATTAAAGAGTCCTCTTGTATTTTCTTGCTATCACCATTGATAACTACCACCAATAGTTCCCACCACCTTCGTCAGTCTTCTGTCAAAACTTAACTTGTTGTTAAGCTTTAATCTTTTGCATGTGGATATCAAATTTCTATGAACCCTACAACTTTTAATCTATTGCAATTACTCCTATCTTTTCAATTGTGAAGAACGAATGGTTGTTATATCTCCAATTCTATATTGGATTGTTGTAACTGGATTAGGCCTCATAATATTTCACTTTGATTTTTCATGTAAAAAATTTTCAATATTCTATAATTTTTTTTATTAAAACTAAGATATTAAATATCAACTTTATTGTGGAAAAGTTTTATAATTTAAAATTTAAGTATAAAAATTATAGAAAATGTATTGCTGAAATGAAGTAAACTCTTATTTACTGATAATATACTATTTATTTCTAGTTTATATATTTTATAAAATTTATAAATATAAAATAATTACTCCAAAAGTTTAGGAACCGACAGCAGCACAAGCTAGACCCGTCGCGCATTGCTTCCGGAGTCCACAAATTCTGCAAGAAAAGTGACCGGTTACCGGCAAAATTCAGTGGCCGAGTGTAGTAATGCAATTAAAATAACTAGAATAATTTCCTGCTATATTACTGATTTAAATGCAAAATTAATCTAATCTCCGGTCCCACCCAGTCGCGCCCGTGGTCGGCTTTTGGAAATATTTGGACTTTTACGTAGCATGAACAGTTCAATCGATGTGATTCTACGCGTTGACATCATCATTCAAGAAATGCATTGGTGGATCCAACAAGGAAAAAAAAATCTATTAATTTTATTTTTAAAATAATGTAAGATAAAGCTTAATTAAATTTACCGATATTATTTTAATCTTAAAATAAATTCAATTAATTTGATTTTTTTTTCTAATTAAGATTTTTTTTTGGAACAGGGGTATCGGCCCGCTGCCACGTCAGCTTGTGACGCACTTAGCGATGTCTACTTATTCCTCGGCGAGTCTACCAGCAACCAACCCCACAAGTGCATAACCTACAGTTCTTTTCTCTCTACTTTAAGGAGTGGTGCCGTATGAGAGGGAATTCGAACTTGGGATGGGTGGTTCCCAACCAAGCACGCCCATCAACCCACCTAAGCCCGGTGGGGTCTAATTAAGATTACATTAGGTTATTTTGAAAGCCTCGACTGAACGAAATAATAACGACGGACTAAAGCTTCGTTTGGGACGGCTTTTTTATTGCTTTCTAAAACGGAGTTTTAATACA